TAATAATTTTTTTGGTAATATAATTCTATGAACCATTATAAAAGAATGTACAATTGGCTACACATATAACTTTTCTATATATTACCTATTTAAGAAGTTCACCTAAAGGTTCTCTACCAATTATTATATCTAACATTTCTGTTTGGATGTTCTTATTTATAAACTAAAATTAGTATAAATTTTAAATATAACAATAGGCTGCAAATAGAAAACAAAATGCAATTAAAAAATGCAATTCAAAAATGCTCTTATTATATTTATAATTTGCAGTGTAAATTGATATAAAACTTTAAATATATATAAAAAAAAGCATTTTACCTTTTTATCTAACCATGTTATAAAAAAAAATTATTAAAGCTAAATAAATACCTACATACTAAATAGAAATTCTAGAAAATTAAATTTTATTTTAGAAATCTAAGTGATACCATTGATAAACATTATCCTTATATGGGTGAACGTTAAAGCCAGGTTCGGTTATAGTTAGTGTTTTTGTAATTAGAATTATTGTTTTATAAAGATATCAAAAACGCAACTTACGCAATTTGTAGATCATTATACGAACATGGTTTTAATATGGTGATAACAATCACTTATCATATAAAGCCATGTTAAAATTATATTATGTTTTTTTTTTAAATTGTATCTCCTCAATAAATAAGATCAAATTTGCAAAAAAAAAGATCATAACTTTGTAGAAAGTATCTTAAATTATAATAGTACGTATTGAATTTTTTTTGCAATATTTTAAATATTCATTGGAGTTACAATTTTGGATGCCTTTAGATGATTTGCACCATAGGTATTTCTTGGTGGTCGTGTTTAATTCATGTGCGTAGTTTTATATTACTGCAATTTTATAACGAAATTTTACATTGCCAAGTCTAATTCCAATATATAGATATATATAGTTTTGTATTGCAGTATCTTTATACGTAATGAAATCTTATACATATTAGCTAATTCCGATATATAGATATAACGAACATGCTATATAACGGTCCAGTCTAGATTTCTTTTATATCCATATATATAATTCAGATTAAAATTATTAGCTGTTTTACGTGCATAGTGAATCTTTGCTATATCATTCTATAACATAACAATAAGAACTTAAACTGTTTCGATGTATTGTGAGAGATTCTTTATGAACTATGCATTACACAAAATTGTCATCTAAAATAGATTAGTAAAAGAGGAATTTACAAATAAGAACCCGGAAAGTGAAAATAATTACAAATAAGGGCCTAAATTAAAATAATTACCTAAAAGGCCTAATTTTTAAAAAATATTACAGATAAGGGTTCAAAATAATAGCGACATTATTCTAGCCTATGGCTTGCTCGTTATTAGCATAAGAAATATAAGCATTGATAAATGTAGTTATTAAGTACATAAAAATGTAACGATCGATTGTAAATTAGTAATTATAACGAGAAAGAAATTTTTAAATTTAATAAATTTCATTTTCTTTGTATAAAATCGGTTATTGTTATAACAACCCACTATTTATATTAAGTAAAGCACTGTGAATTGAAATAACATTTACTAATATGAATATAATTGTTCTGCTCTTGAGAGATACTCTGTTGAAACTTCATCGTCTTATAAATAATTGTGCTAGTTTAACACTATTTTTTATACAATATTTAAGCGAAAATGATTGTAACCAGCACTTCATTTATTTTTTTATCTAATAAAAAGTTCTACGTAGAAATGCATGCGCATTAATTTATGTATATCAATTAAAATCCCGCGCGGGATCCACGCGTGGCCCATCACTAGTCATAGAACTTTGTGGCACAGTAGTTCCGTGATCACGTTTTTCATCCATCAATAGAATTTGGGACCTATACATATGTAATATTTTTTAAAAGTTAGGCCCTCAAGTGTAATTATTTTTAATTTGGGCCCGTATTTGTAATTATTTTCATTTTCCGGGTTCTTATTTGTAAATTCCCCTTAATAAAATCTACAAATTAGGGGGTTTGGTAGTAGAATGTATCGAAATAAATAAAAAAGCAATAAATTTAATGCAATACTTCTCTAATGATAACATTTCTCCAATTACTCTTAGTCTTGTGATCAAATTTATACATTTATTGCGTAATTTAAACCACCAATCAAATTTAATAAAAATCACATGCAATAATGTGTTTGGTTTCTCCAAATGTACACTTATCTATGTTGGTCCGACAATGTGCATTTAGGGTTTGACCAAATATTTTAAATTAACAAAGAAAGTTACATTTCATAATAAACAAACATAATGATAAGATTATTACTATATTGATCTATCTTTTACCAGATAAATAACGTTTTTTAAACAATTAATTATTTTACAAGTGATCATATTAATTTTTTTTTAAAAATTTGTAAATTGTCTTTTCATTACGGTGCATTTGTAAAAGTTGAAAAATTTGACTACTAATATGTAAATATAGATTTTGACTGAGATAATCAACATTCCCCAAGTTATGATGCGTCATTTAATAAATTCCTATGTCCAATGGGATGCGTTGGGGTGGGAAGATGGGTTAGCATGTGAGGAAGATAGGTTAGACTCGTTATCGGTACAGATCAGAGGTCCGAAAAATTTTTTTCGGGGTATAACATTGATTGTTTAATATATAATTTTGGGAACCAAAATTTAAATTTGGGACCAAATGAATTTGTAACATAAACGAAACTTAAATATTACAAGAGCAAATAATAATCGTTATATGTATAAAAAGTTTTTATAGATTTAAGAATTTAGAGAAAAAAAACCAACCGTATCATCTTTTGTATGGTGTGCGAAGCACCAAAACTTTATGATGGCAAGCTGAATGTAAATTATTCTGGTATGAAACAAGATTAGAGAGAGGAATATTGCATTTTCTTTCTTTTTTTATCCAAAATATGTCTCAACATTCCATAGTTAAATCTATAATGACTAACATAGTTCATTACACAAAAAAAATGAATTCACAAATGTCTTTAAAAGGAAAAAAAGATTCTTATGCCATCAGTATAAGTCAAAACTAAGATAAAAAACATACTTTTCTACAAATCAATATTATGTGTGCGTGTTAGTTTGTAATTTTATTACTCAACTACTACTATAAGCACACTACTACTTAGAATGAGATCTAAAATACTAGAAAAGAAAATGAGAAAAAAAGAGTATATTTATATTTCACTACTCCATGGGGGAAATAAAATGTTCCTTAACTTAAAAGCAGATCGTTAATTTATTCGTCTAAGACGTGGGTATAATTATAAAAAAGAAATTAACAACACGACCAACAACTTGCTTTCTCGTGTGAAATCCTTTAGATCGTCTGCTTTTTGTTAGACTAAATGTTATTTTCGCATTATAGTCAACTCATAATTTTTAGAATTCACTAAAAATCCATCAGAATCCATTCTTTATAAGCGAAATTGATGAGACTTGAAAAAATCTTCAAGATTTCGTCCATTGATTTAAGTTTCAACTTCTTTTTTCTTTGTTTAATACCTAAATTGATGTACTAATAAAAAATGTCGGGAAGGTATAAAACATACCCTAACCTCAAACCAACCCTAACCTTAAACTAACCCTAACCTTAACCAACCCTAACCTTAACCAACCCTAACCTTAAACTAACCCTTACCCTAACTTTAACTAAATAGTCAAAAACATATGATGTACAACGCTTTAAACGTTCCCGAATAAAATTCTATTCGTTACGATCAAGCATTGATTGTTTAAGAACTTTATTTAGATTATTAATGATATCTCAGTTCTATCGATTGTTATCGAATAATTTTTATCGAATAATTTTTATATCATTCAAATCATCTCATTGAGACGAATCAAATGGTATTCAATTCTGGTTATTAATTGACAAGATATCTTCGTATTTAATATTTTTAAGAAAAATTATGATTTTTACTATAATATCTGATATATCATGAGATATAATAAAGTAAAGAACTGTATAATAGTAAGATCTGGTACTAAGTAATAGTACACTAAATAAAATTATTCACGGTACCAATTATCAATTTCTATATGATTGAGAAATTTGAATAATTTTTTATTAATGAGTATTCGTGTTATTACGCATATGGGCGGATTTGACGCATTTGATGATCATTTTAAATGTGACAAAATCGAGTATATTATAAAAAGTTATATATTAAAAAAACCTGTAATTTCCTTTTTACATCAGCCTGCAATCAGTCTGCAAATTCAAAATAGGAAATAAAAATAAAAACCTAATTGGTTTACATTCAAAATAATCACAAAATTGTTGTGCAATTCGAAAACATCACACTAATGAAAGTGCGTTAAATCCGCCCATATGGTTACTACGATATAACTAATTTTTTTTTTCATTTGCCAAGACCGTGATCTGATTGGCCAATTAGCATGTGATATTACATCATTTTGGTGTAACAGAAATGTTCAGAAACATCTGATTGACATTTTCATACCATAAAAGGTGTGATCGACACTGTCCAAATTTGGAAAAATCCCTGACTGCATTAAAGCCAACCCACAAATAAACAACCGTCAACGCACAAATACAAGCACAAACATTCTATAACATAACCCATTAAACGGGAGAGAAGTATAAAGAAAAAAAAAATAACAATAAAATAAAATAAAAGCAATAGTGTATATACTAAATTATATATACACAAAAAGAAAGAAGGAAAAGAGAGGAGTGAAATTGATATTGTTCATAGCATAAAAGCGTACATGTCGTATTTTTGAGGGGTAGCTTAATGCTTCTCTTTTTCTCAGTACCATGGGCTTCCATCATCCCTTTTAACTCGGAATGAACTTACGTAATTTGTGTTCGATGGGTTATTCTTAGTCTGACTTCGAAGCCTGTAACATAAAATTAATGAAAAATAATAATAGAATGATAAATAAAAAGAATAAATAAAAAAAATAAATTGAAAGAATAAATAAAAGAATAAATGAAAGAATAAATGAGTGAGTAAATAAAATAAATAAGAATATAAACTTACAGCCTATCCGAAGTCATAACTCTGTTATTTTCTACGGTTGGAGCACTAGCATCTTGGCCCTTGTTACTACGCCTTGGAGTTTGCGTTAGCCGTGAAGACCCACTGGCGATGGGTTGCTGTGGTGTCGTATTATTTCGTGCAATTCCGGCAGTGTTTGAATAAACCTGCTTACTTGAAGGTTTACGAGTACTACTTGGTGCGGTTACCATGTTACTGGTATTATTGGCTTGTCGCATAGTGGAGTGTTTCTGAATTTTAACATCTTCTTCAGGTTGTTCAGGAACAACATTTGCATCATCAGGCATTGGTAATGATGGATGCACTTTATTAGCATCTTTTTCCTAATAATAGAACAAATAATATTTAGGAAATGATAAACAATAAAAAAAAATTAAAAAATAAAATAAAGTTGCACTTGCATATTTAAAAATTGTCCAATCAAAAACATAATCATATTGAAAGCCTTCACGGACAAATAAATCCCTGAATAACTTTCTCAAATAACTATAATCAGGTTTGTCATCAAATCGAAGGGATCGTGTGTAATTCAAATAGATAGCAAATTCATTGGGAAAAGTACGACAAAGCAGTTCCGTTGGTGTAGTCATTTTCTTTTCCATGATACGATCGTATTTCTGTTTCTTGGTAGCAGCTTTGAGACCTTGCCATGGAAGCGAACCACGACAGAAATACATCATCACATAACCTAGTGATTCAAGGTCATCACGACGAGATTGTTCTAAAGAAATGAATAAAGGAATATGAATATAAATAAATAAACATAAATATAAATATATAAATATATATATATGTATATATATAAGATTTTAAGAACATGATATTTAATAAAATAAGTAAATGAATATACATACCGACACCTAAATGAGTATTGATGCTAGCATATCTAGCTGTACCTGTTAAATTCTTATTTTCTCTATAAGGGATGTGTAAGTGTGTCTTTGGATCGCGGTATTTTTTTGCTAAACCGAAATCGATAACATTGACTTGATTACCGCGTTTACCAATTCCCATCAAAAAGTTATCTGGTTTAATATCTCGATGAATAAAGTTTTTGGAGTGAATGTACTCAATTCGAGAAATCTAAAAGATTAATAATGAATAAATTAAATTAAGAGAACGAAAATAATAATAATATAATAAAAAAATTGTAAGTCGATAATTAATTAATTAGTTAATTAGGATATATAAATGGAAATCTTCATATAATAATATCATACCAATTGATCGGCCAACAGCAGTACCGTTTTCAATGAAAATTTACGATTACAGAAATTGAACAAATCCTCCAAAGATGGTCCCAATAAATCGATAACCATTGCGTTATAATCGCATTCGGTACCGTACCAGCGGACGAACGGGATACCCACACCACCGGCCAGTGTTTTATAAACCTTTGCTTCATATTCTAATTGTGGATGTTTAGCTTTCGTAGATTCAAGTTTGATGGCAACTTCTTCGTTATTAATAATGTTTGTACCTAAAACATGATGTCAATATGAATAATTAACTTTAATAAATCCTAAAAAGCAGTAGAATAGAGAAAACAAATAAACCAAATTTATTTTTTATATAGTTATTATTATTATTACTATTATTATATTACCATTACCATTATATTATTATTATATTAATTTTAATTATTACTATTATTCTTATTATTACTTTAAACATACCGAGATAAATATCACCAAAAGAGCCAGAGCCGATCTTTCTTCCTATCCGGTACTTATTTCCCACCCTCAAGTCCATAGCCATTTCGTACAAATATTATATATATAAAGAGAGTGGTGGAGCTGTTTAAAAAAGTTAGTAAATAAGTAAAATAGAAAAAAGACAAAAAATAGCCAAATAAAAAATAAAAATAGTATAGTAGACTAGATGGTGGAAAATTGCCCAATTAAGAATTTAAAAAAACAAAGTTTTACGTTCTGGGAGACAGTAAAAGGTAAGGCACACCAAGTTTATTCGTAATAACACGGAAAGACAGAAAAATTACCTGAGAGAATACTACTAGTTATTACAAAGTTAATTAAACCAAACAACTCGGTGGGACGAATGATGAACCGCCGACAAAGTTGCGCAGTAAATAGTAGAGTGAGTAGCGGAAGACGAAAGGCCAAATAAGTTGACTGACTTGAGATTATAAACAAACAATATGGCAAGGGTGAATTTACTCTTTTTTTTTATTTTGTGAGAAAGAGACAACCTATATGTTAAAGTCAAGACTTCAAAGGAAGGTGGAGTTATTTTGAAGGGATGTGAGTAATAATTATTGTTACGGAAATTTTTGGGGGGTCAGAAAATGCAGTGCTATAGTGTAAAGCAACTCTAGCAATTCTGGGATTTCCTCTCCCTAGTGGTAAAAATACTGATTTTTTGGGGGCACCACATTCATTATTTGGAAATTTATTGGACGATACACAAAGCACTATTAATCTATTAATACAATTAATACCGATACGTATAATATGACACGTACAATACCATCGGTATGTATATACATACGTACTGTCGTCGCATAAAAACTAATAAGCTAACCGCAGCAAGTACAGAAGTAGAATAAATAGTCGTTTTAAAGAATTTTAGTCACAATATCGATATTGATATCGTAAAATTTTTTTATCATAATTGTTGGTAGGGTACACACAAGCATCACATAGTGGTATCACATACCCCCTAAAAAAAAAATAAGTGATGGTACTGCGACGACACGACTACTTTAGGAGAGATGCTCCATGAAGAAAGAATACGTAAGCGTAATTATTATTATTATTAATATATATAACGATTAAGAATTTTGGAGTCCCAATCTTGATTTATTTTTATCTCAAAATTACAGCCACAAATAATACTACCATATGACTTTATATCATCAGACATCTATAAGACCAATGATATGATTTTATTCCAGTTATTACTGTATTAAAAGGAATAATTACTCGTCTAAAATTTCCCCAAAAAAACGGACGCAGTAAATAAATACTCGTAATTTATCAAAGGCAATTCAGGAAATTCACATAGATATTGCAGAAAATCATTAAAATTGTTCGTTAAAATATCTCACAACCTTTTTCTAGATATATTACGTGTATTCAATAGTTGGCTTATGTAGGACAGGCAAAAAAGATTTTTGCACTCTTCATACCCTTCATGGGTAAATGAACTTGTTTCCTATTTACCTAAGATCCTCAAATCATCATGATCTCGGAGAGTAGATGATGATTGTCCTCAATTAAAATGCGGAAAATAGTTGGCGCATGTCTGGCATTCCTTTTGTAAGACAACAAAGAACGATTTAATTTGGCAAAATGAAAATTTTCCGCAATTGAAAAATCCAGAATTTGGCTGAATTTTCTTGTAAAGCCACCAAATTTCTGCAACTTAACTCGTTTCCTCTAAAGATGGGTATTACAATCTTCTGTATTTCAGTTTATATTAATTAAGATTTGCCACATGCTCGTTAGCGTGTCGGTTATTATGCAACTAAAAGCCGCCCATCTTTTCAAGTGTGTTTCCGGCAGAATCACCGAATTATTAGGTAATCATTTTTAAAATTTCGGTATCGATCTTCATTATTATGTGTCACGTGAATGGTTAACTGTGCTTGGATAAATTTGGTGATTATACACATTTGATGCGACACTATCCCATGTACAATAATCTGTTATTAACGTTATCTCTTATCGTTATTCCACAACCGCTCTAGAAAAGGAAATCGGCAAGTCTATTTTTAAAAAATTATTTGGTTTCTTTGATATCTGCACGCCCAAGTATAAACGCGACTAGAATCCTGTATTAATCATTAATACTTGAAAAAAAAGTATAAAAAGTCTAGTTTTTGAGATTATTAATTCGACGTTGGCGCGTACGATGTGTAAATAATGTGAATACATGTAAGTTTGATATATCAAAGATTCAATTAATTTTTTTGTATTGTTAAATTTCTGTTCAATATGTATTTAAGTTATTGTGAAGTTGTTTTTCTTGTCTCGATAATGAAAGTCAATTGTATCAAACTATCTGATTATGGAAATATGTTTAACTCGATAGTAGTCTTTTATAGAAATGAATGGTACAGTGAACTTCGTGTTACCATATAAGTTTCTGATGTTCTCTTTGTCAAAGATTACCGTTACAAAGATGAGGAAAAGGTTTGCTGATACCTTACATTCCTGATTAAACTTGTGTATGTTTCTATTTACTGTAAAAATTTCTAAAAAATAATTACGGAGATAATATCAACCTAATTATTTTTGCATTGTGAAAATAATTTGCTGGTTAAAAAAAAAATTAAATTTGGTGATCTCACTATAATTTTTAATTCGCTAAATAAAGTAAAATTGTATCAAATTTACACACTTACAAACTGTTCTAGTGTTACCAACCTAAAAAATTTCGCTGTTAAATTAAGATTAAGTTAGTTTAGGAAGAGCTTTAGTGATACCAAAATTTCACAAAAAAAACTTTTTGTTGGTGCGCAAAAGGTGGTTCATAACTGATTTTTAGATCTTTTTGTGCCATATCTGATTTCGAAATATAATTGGCTAGTGGGATGTTTTAAGTGGTAACACTGGTTTTAAAATTGGTAAAATATGTTTTTTACAAAATAAAATTCAATTGAAAATTTTAATATATAGTTTTTTGTAATTAACTAGTGTTGTGTATTAGAAATAAATATAATACAAAATAGCAAAAAACATTTAGTAATTTTTAAAAACATCAATTTTAAATTTTTTTTAAATATTTAAACAGTTTTGCTAATCATCTTTATTAAGATTCTTATATATATATTTGTACAAAGTTAGGTTTAAATTTTGGCTTAATATTTTTTAATTATCTTTATAAGCATCTAGAAGTGGGGTTTTTTTTTAAAGTAATCTTTTTGGTCTTTTGATTTTTATTAATAACTTTTTTGGCAATATGATCCTATGAACTACTATATAAAAAATATATAATTGATTACACATATAATTTTTTTATATTACCTATTTAAAAAGTTTGCTTAAAAGTTTTCTATTAATTTTTATATCTAATATTTTTATTTAAGTGTTTTATTTTAAATTTTCTGAACTTGCAATCTGTATTAACATTACTAAGTTATGATCAGATCATTATTTTAATTTTAGAACTATTTTATTCTTAAAGTAAATTTTTTAAAACCTTTTATACTTATTTTTATAGTTGATCTAGTATTGCTATAGCAGAACTAATATTTGCAATTAAGATTAGTTATTAAACTGCTATATTCTTATAAAGTTCACTTGAATTCTGACATAATCTTAGTATTTTAGTATATATATCTTTGCTTGTTTTTTAGATTCTTAATTTAGATAGTCTTTATAGAATTATAACTAGTTCATTAGTATATTAAGTTAACTTAATATTTTTTCTTCTGGTCTTTTTAGTTAAAATTTAGTAACCTAGTTGGTAATATTCCTATTTAGAAATACTTGTCTTTTTAAATATATATTTTAATATTGGTATTTATTTTTAGTAGTTTAGTCTTTACAATAGCAATATTAAAGATTTACATTATTTTTTTAATCAAATTTTCTCAAATAGACTTTTTGTTTTTAATTTTAATAGATTTATACAGTTACAAGTACTTATCTAAAGTTTGTAATACCTAATGTTAGTTTTTATTTTTCTATAAAATTAGTTATACAAATGCCTTATTTTTTTTTTTTAAATATTAAGATGAGTATTTGTGATCTAGGATTTTATTAATAGTATATTTAGCTAATGATTGCATTATAATTACAGAAGGCAATTATAGAAAAAGTATACAACTAGTCACTCATACAACTTTAGTTATTATCTAATTTAAGTAGTCTATTTGAAAGTTCTACACTAGCTGCTATACCTGAAACCTGCTTGTAAGTTTCCTATTTAACTACTCTAGTTTCTGTATTTATCTACTTATCTCTGTCTACCAATAATCCTAGCTGATGCCAGTAAAAATATGCTATGATCACTAAGTCTTTAAAACAATTTTTTAAAACCTTTGACTTTGTACTAAATCTTTCAGAATCTTCTGTATCTCATTCTTATAACTGACCTAGTATCACTATGACAGAGACCAACACTGATGATCAAGACATACTATTAAACCACTATGCTTTTGTAGAGTTCACTTTAACCCTAGTATTTACTTCACAACATATTCTTACTACTTTGATATTCAAGTTCTACTAAACTGCCATTTCAGATAGTCTGAAAAGGTAGATCAAAACTATACACTTTTGGTTTACATGTTTGTTAGCATGTATTCTTTTTTTCTAGAATCTGAAAATTCTAGTAGCCTGGTTGGTTTATTCAGTTCTTCTTCAAAGATTGGCATATTTGCCTGGTTTTACAAGTTCTAGCTTTATTTTATAAGTCTAGTTATACAAATGTCTTATAATTTGCTAGTTATGTTAATATAATTATTATTATAAGTACTTTAATCTAATCATTAGAAACAGTTGCTATATATAATATAAATATTATATAAATAATTATCTAAATTTTTATTATTAATAGAATTTGAATATTTAATTTACTATTTGAAGAATTGACAACTTATTTACTTTACTAAGTTATTATACTCTTAGAAGTAGTTTATTTTATTTTTTTTTGATATTAAGATAATCTTTTTGGTTTTTTGATTTTTTATTAATAATTTTTTTAATAATATAATTTAATAAACTACTACAAAAAAGTATAAAATTGGCTATCTATTTAAGAAGTTTATCCAAAAGTTTCTTATTAATTGT